AAACAGTTATGCTATTGTTAGCATTACACGTGTAAACACCCTATTTTCCTTTAGTTAATTAATCAATTTCTCATAGTTTTGCTAAGTGATTGTTAGAACTAACTTGCTTGGTTACTTTATTTTGTTCTGATATGTTAAACAATTAGTAATTTAACCCGGTGAAATATGTCATTACTTCTTTTTAGGTTTAATAGATAACAATGTAGAATAATAAGGTGTAGAAATAGTGCGCAACAGATAAAGCTTACATGTATGCATTAAATTTTGCAAAAATGTTTTTTAATACTTAGAAGACATGGTAAGTTGCTCGAATTGTTATCAATCAGTCATATCTATTTCTATATTTCTATGTTGTACTAGTAATTCACTAATGTTAGAACACGTGTAGGACATTATAGATAACTAAGCTTCATAAATATATGATTTAGATTTATGATTATGTTGATAATATTGGGATGAATTATTTTGTTTCCAATCTTTTATGAAATACTATAAAAATTTAAACCATTATAGTTTAACATATACACTTCAAATCCAGCGTAGATTAAGGATCTAGAACTATATCAAGCAAGGCTATAATAAAATATGTTTTACCTAATAACACCGGTGACTGAAAATTCTGGATCCGCCCTTGCGGTTAACCTTGGCTGCCACAATAGCAATGCAACATAATGGCCTCTCGTCCTCAACAGCACCAGTGCGACAAGCTCGGTCTAGCCTTTTCTCAACGGAAGCAAGGCAGGATAGCCCTATAGCATTTTGGATGAGGTCCCGCTGATGGCACCAGCAGTGAGCAACGAAAGAGCGCCTAGTACGTGTTGAGCCTGGTAACGGAGAGAAGGAAGAAGTAGATCTAGGCTGGTACATTTTCAATTTTCTTTCATCTTTCAACCAATATATTTTTTTTATCTTTCGTTACGTTGAATCATATAATGATGCAGTGGTTAGTTAGCTGGTGTGTTTTCTATTTTTTCAATGCATGAGATATGTTTGTTTCAATAATTGAAACTCGAAGTTTCATACTCTAAAGCAAAAAAAAAAAGAATGTTTCAGGTCAGCTGTGATTTGATTATGTTTCACTGTTTAAATTGTTAACAAAATTTTGTACAAGACATGAAACTCGGATGCCTGATTTGTAGTCTTCTCGAATTTTATCACTTCATGAGATCCGAACGGGGATCGGTGAATTGTCACTGAACTGAAATTTGGTTCTCTCACATGCCATTTCCAACTGTGAGAAATGTATTTGAGTAGGCTGTGTAAATCGGTTCCCCTTTATTAACGATCGATGAAGGCCAGGCCCCTATTAATTGCTGGCTCGGGATCGCGTGTGTACGGCCTCGTATCGTATGGGCCAACCGCTCAACCAGCGGCCGCCTGCAGGTGGCGGCGCGCCTGCCAGTTAGTCCAAGCACGCAATGCTAGCTGCACGCGTGACGCGTCGAAAGCACTCGCGATATGAGTGCGCTACGTGCCCAATCCAAGTTCTTCTTGTTGCCTCTCGACGGTAACCGATCGACGTACGTAAGATGTGTGTTGACGATAATCTCGTAAGTTGTACGTGTTTACGTACGGAGTAATGATCTCCAGTAGTTTTAAGTTTTAACCGGCCCGGCCGGCTTTACGTACGATCTTGAGATCTCAAGGAAAAGGATGGATGGACAACGACTAGCAAGTATATACCACATGGTGCACGTGTGGCATATGCATCCTAGGTTGGACGTACGCCTCCCATGACCAAGTTGATCGATGACCGCCGTCAAACCATGCGACTCAATTCACCAACAGATTAGGCTGAGTTCCGCACCGAGAGTTCTCATGTCTTCTCCTTCCTTTTTCACACGCACACACTATTCTAACAGTTAAACGATGTGTTTTTTAAAAAAAAAATATGTAGGAAAGTTGCTTTTAAAAAATCATATTAGTCCATTTTTTATGTTTTTTCTAATAGCTAATAACTATTCCGTTTTCTATGCCGGAGATAAACGTTTCCAGCTGTAACAAATGAACACAGCCATTAGCGAGAATGCTATCGCGTTTCCAGCGCACACTTCCAGCGCGCGTATTTCTTTTCTCTTTTTTCTTTTTTTCTTGGCGTTGTTTGCTTCCGCCGTTTCTTTTTTTTTCTTTTTTTCGCAGTTCGCTATCGTATGGGTAGGAGAAAAAATCGTAATTAGTTTACTAGTGATTAGTTTCCTATTTTTACTAGTGATTAGTTTACTAGTAATTTTTCAATATTAACTTCAAAATTTTCAAATTTGGACTTGAAAGTTTTCAAATCTCGAGATAAAAATTTTCAAATCTGGGCTTGGCAGTTTTCGAATCTCGAATTGAAAGTTTTCAAATCTCGAGTTGAAAATTTTCAAATCTCAAGTTGAAAGTTTTCAAAAATTTCAAATCTAGACTTGAAAGTTTTCGAATCTCGAGTTGAAAATTTTCAAATATCAAGTTGAAAGTTTTTAAATTTTTTAAATCTGAACTTGAACGTTTTCGAATCTCGAGTTGAAAGTTTTTGAATCAAAATTGAAAGTTTTCAAATCTGAGTTGAAAGTATTCAAAATTTGACTTTAAAATTTAAATCTTAAATCAAAAGTTTTCAAATTTAACTTAATTTTTTTTAATTTGTTAGTAGAAAAATCTAAAAAAAATCTTGAGAGTATTTCCTAATTGCTATCATTAGTGTTAAGTGTTAACTAATAGAGATATTAAGCGCACGCGCCAGATAGCTACTCCAGCCATGAGTCCATTTGTCCCGAGGCAGGCTGCAATAGCTGTACACAGTTTTCCGGCCCACGCGGACGGCCCAACACCTGTGCGGTCCAGGCGCACACCCCTCGCTTTTCCTCCCAAAGTCCCAAGCCCACCAAAAGACGTACGTCACCGAGGACGCACTCGCAGCAAGTTCATATGGAGTATTGGGACTTTGCTTTGCTTTCGATCGCCTTTTTGACAAAAACACGACCGATCGGTTGCACAACTGTACATGTACGACTCTGTACATGGACACACAATAATAATTAATCGGAGTTGCTAGCAATATGGCGCCATATGCTATAGTCGATTTTTTTCAGCCACTTACATAACAGTTACACCTCATTTACACCCCACTTATATATGTAATTAGAATGTAATTTTCGAATTTACATATGTAATTTTAGCACTTACATATATAATTTTGAGACTTACATTGTAAATACACTAAAATTACATATGTAATTTAGAGACTTACAATATAAATACATACCGACTATTTTTTGATAAAAATATGACGCCATAAATATAGCTACACCCTAATTAATTAACTAACTCGATCAGTCGAATTAGTATGTATCATGAGTGACGACGACCAGCGACGGCCGGGGAAAGAACCCAGCTTGACTCGCGGTTGACCACCTAGCGCAAAAGCGACCGAGCTACACTAGCTGCATTACGTGTCAGCCTATGATCCATCGCATTCCTCGTCCTCTGCTATTTTAGGTGGTCGCTTCCTTTGGGGAAGCTACCTTATACTTTTCTTTTCTCTGGAGCAGTCCAGACTCCAGATGCAGCAAACTCTACTATACGTTATATGCACGTATACGTTATCTCTGCTATTACCTTCGAAATCTGGAACGGATATATCTTAAAGATTGATAAGATCAACACAAACGTCTCGTTATTAACGGATACGTCACGTAGCACTAAAAGAATAATTAATTATAAATATGAAGTCATACGCCTAGTATAAAATTTAATACTGAGCAGATAACTTTTATCAACAAAAACTAAACTAGTTGAGAGATACGCTTAATTTACACGTTATAAAGTAATAAATAAACTAAAAACTGAGCCTTCAAAAAACAATATCTCATCTCTATCGACCAGACACCAAGTGATTATGTCAAGTAACTATATAATAATTGTTATAAAAGTTAGTCGATATAGAAAAAGAACGACTATCTTCTCGATAGCTTCAATCACTGATCACCAAAACATCCCAAATAACAACCCAACAACACATGATATTTAATAAGGTTCAGCTAAAACTCAATCCTATATGCTCTGATTATGAGCGCTCCTTTTCAATCAATATAGAACCTAGTCACTACAAGTCCATGGCTCGCCGCCATCCTCTTTTAGCGTGTGTATACTACATTATAATCATCATAGTTATATTAGAGCATCTCTTTTTGAAGGGTTGCTAGATTACAGAATCCGATTCTAACTATACCTCCTACCACTTATTTCAACTACAAGTCCAATTATAACCTAATATATAGGACTAAAATATTCGACACCAATGTTAGTAGTATTTATTAGTATCAACTTCATATTAAGTATAATGTGGTATTTATTAATTTTGAATTTTTCAAATTATTAAATCATTGATAAATAATAATTGAGATTATCAACCAAGTACAGCTCTACCTATAAAAATTTGTCATTATTGGATCATTTAAAAAAATGAAAATTGAATGATATATAAGCTCTACCTAGACCAGGTGCATGATATAAGCGATGAGGCAAAATTTAGCGATATGTAAAGATAAAAATAATGTTACTTTTCTCCCTGCTCCTTTTAGCGACGGAGTCAAAGTAAATCTTAGAAGCGTTTTTTAGATGAATCTGAACGTTCTACTCTTGATTTGAATTAGGGATGCAAGCGGGACGGACAAGCGGGTTATTTTAGCCCGCTTATCTTACTTATAATTCATTTTTTTCTTCTAAATTTTATACTAGCATGTGGGAAATGAACTAGCAAACGAGTTTTTCTACGGGTAGCCGGACTACCTACCTACATGCATCTCTAATTTGAATAGCTAGTCGTTATCAAGGCTTGGAACCTCTGAGCAGAAAGGGTTATCTATAGGCTTGGCAGCCATCCGGCCGGTCAAAAACCAAAATCAGCACCACCACCACGTACGCACGTGCCAAAGCATTCTATCACGGTCACTTGGCTTGATCGATCCTATATATATACCAGCAACCATAATTGCACGGAACGCACGGCTTGGAATCGCCTCACTCACGAACTCCTACGTACGCTACACAGGCCAGTAAATTAGCTAGACAGATAACGTAGCGTACATGCCTGCTGATCATATGGAAAAGACCGTGCCAACAGTTGTTCCTGCTCGACCTCCCAACAGCGAGGGGGAGCGGAAGTCAACCAACTTCCATCCTAGCTTGTGGGGCGATTTCTTCCTCAACTATGAGCCGCCAACTGCGCCACAGGTACATGGTTCAGTGTAAATTTTACAATTTTATCATATATCAGTCATTAGGGGTATATTATCAGCTGAATTTTCATTTTTTGAATATATAATATATATCACGATCCACATTCCATGATAATCCCACTAGTACACAAAAGATTTTCCTGGACAAGGAGCTCCCATTTTCCTAGATGGAACGTTTTCGCGTGCGTCTGCAAAATTAGACTTCCATTTTCACGTGCGGACCCTTAAAAGGCCTGCACGCAAAAATCAATTTTCGCAGGCGGGCCTCTTAACGGTCCGCATGCAAAAATAAGCCTATTTTCGCGTGCGGACCCTTAAGAGGCTCGCACGCGAAAATCGATTTTCGCGTGCGGTCCTCTTAAGTGGACCACACGCAAAAATACCTCTGCCTCTTTTCCATCTCAATCACTTCAAATTTTCACCTTCTCTCTTCATTTTCCCTTTTATTCTCCCTCAATCACCCCCATCGTTCTCTCTCTGCCTTTCCTCTCCTCCCCTCCCCACCGAGCGCACGGGGCGCGGGAGGCACCTGGCTTGCCGCCACCACCACCGATGAGGCGGCAGCTGGGAGCGGGCGGGAGGCGGCGGGGCGGGCGACCGGCCGGATCTGTGCCGCGCCGACGACGATGAGGAGGAGGAGGCGTCCGAGAGTGTTGATGCAAAAAACTTGTCGTTAACAGGGAGCGGCGACGACGATGGGAGTGGCGGTGGCCAACCACGGCGACAACGACGGGAGTGGCGGCGGCACGACGACGGCGACAACGAGAACGATGGTGACCACGAGCAGCGGCGGCGGGCGATTCTAGGGTTAGGGTTAGGGTTTTGGATTTTTTTTTTGATTTTATTTTTCTTTCCGTTTTTTAGTGCGTGCGGTATAATTTAACCGCACGGGATAATCGATTATCCTGTGCAGTCCACTTAACCCGACTACACGGGAAGATGGATCATCCCGTACAGTTGGACCGCCCTCACGCGAAAATATGGGTGCAGTACGGGCGGGACCTCCGCATGAAAAATCTTGTATACTCATGTCCATATCATATGGTGGTGGTTTTCTTGTCCAATGAAAGCGTAAACAAGTGGCAATGCTAAGAGAATGGAGAATATATATGTAGGAGGAAGAAGATGAGAGAGTTTTGGGGTTTAGACTTTAGAGAGAGGCCAAGGTGATCACATGGTGTATGGTCTCCGAGCTGCATTATTTATTTATATGGTGGCAGATCCAGTGTTAAAAACCTCTAAAGAAGATGATCAAGATGATGGTAGCAGGCAGTGGAGGCATTGGCCATGGCCCATTCATGGGGTACGGTGGCAGCTATGTGTCTGGAGGAGAGAGAGGAAGACGAGTTAGGGTTAAGATTAGGGTGTGCAGTTGGTTTTTATAAATAGTACAAATCTTTTATGGGTAATTTTTTTGGATGGTTAGAATTAGATCTAAAGGCTAACAAGAATGATTTTGATTTAAAGAAATTTTAGTCAACCGATATATAGAAAGCTACCTAAATATTAACACTTTTCTAGATAAATTGACTAATTAATGTTTGTCATTTACGTACAGCAAGCATGCATGAAAGGAAGGGCTGAAGTGTTGAGAGAAGAAGTTAGAACATTATTAAAGGGTTTAAAGGAAGTACAAAAAATATTGGACATTACAATGGCAATACAACGGTTGGGACTAGACATGTACTATGTGAACGAGATTAATGAGCTGTTGCACTTTGTTTACAGCTCTGATTACAATGACAAAGATTTGAATTTAGTTTCACTTCGATTTTATCTTCTGCGAAAGAATGGCTACAATATGTCATCCGGTAAGCCCTTGCGTTTGTAAACTGTTATAAAAATGGAGTTGATTAACAAGTTATATTATATTTGACAGAAGTTACATTAATCATGGTAAATATTTTATATTTCTTGTTCATCTGGTAATTAATGTGTATTAGTTGTTTAATATGTGCTAGCAACGTAGACATTGTGTCCTTCTTTTCCGAGAAGACCCTTTCATTTAAGATATCAAACTCCATTCACACCAAAATAGCAAAAAAAGCTAGCTCACAGCAATACTGTAGGGAAATTTTGGGAATGAACCTACAGTGAAATCATATTTATACAATCATTACATGTTTCCAAGCTAGAACAACGTTTTTTTTATAGACTACAAATATTTTCATTAAACTATCACAAAACTATATAGATCTAAGGCAATACATCATAAACCTATACATATATAATATTAAGTTTATCATAAAACTACATATTTGAGATGGTATATTGCAAAACTACAAATATAGTAACAGACTTATCATGGAACTATAGATTTTAGAGTTTACCCCTAGCACTAATGTTCTACTAGAGTTATATAAGTAGTTTTGGGATAAAATTAGTGTTGCATCTTTAGTTTTGCTATACTGTATATGCTTAAATATGTAATTTTGTGATAAATTTAGTGCTAAACCTATATTTTGTGATACACCCCCTTAAATATGTTGTTTTATGGTGGTTTGGTCAAAATATCTTTAGTTTTATGAAATTTGCACTAAAAGAAAACATTGCAGAGAAACAATGCAATTTATTTCATCTTAGACCAACAAAGCAAAGAGAGACTAATTTAATATGACCAATTATATTTTTGCAAGGAATGATATATTTACATATATTTAGCATGTTTAACCATTTATTTGGAAGTATATTATGCATGGCTCTAGAGAACCAACTGATCAACTATTGATTCTAGGTCATTTATATGTTGGAAATATTATTGGTTGGTATTCAATACTCAATGAACGTTGCAGGTATTTTTCTCAGTTTTAAAGACAATGAAGGGAATTTCATTGTTGATGACACAAGAAGTCTTTTAAACTTATATAATGCAGCAAACCTTAGGGTTTATGGAGAGAAGGTGCTTGATGAGGCTGCAACTTTCACTATAAGTCGCCTTGAGGGTGTGTTGGAATCATCAGACTCAATATTATCAACGGAAGTATCCTTTGCCCTTGAAGCACCAATATTCCGAAGGGCACGAATTGTAGAAATGAGAAACTACATTCCTATTTATGAAATAGAGGCTACAAGAAATGAAACCATATTGGAGTTTGCGAAACTGAATTTCAACCTTCTGCAACTTCTTTACTGTGAGGAATTAAATAAGATCACATTGTGAGTTTTTTTCAAATATTTATTTTTCATTCTTTAACTTTTTCCTTATATTTTATACCCTAGGGTTCTTTTAACTCATGGACAATAATGTTATATATTGACAATACAGGTGGTGGAAGGAGCTTAAAGTCAAATCAAACTTGAGTTTTTCTAGAGATAGGATAGTAGAAATGTATTTTTGGATGAATGGAGCACTATATGAACCTCATTACTCTCACTCCAGAATTATACTTACAAGGGTGACAGCATTTATGACAATAATAGATGATATATTTGACACATATGGTACAACAGAAGAGAGTATGCTACTTGCTGAAGCAATTAATAGGTCAGAATCTCTTAAATCTGCAATATATTTTTATTCTTTTCACCTAATTATCAAATATTAATTCATTGGTATATTCATCAATCGCTCATACAATGGTATCAATACATATTGGCAAGAAAATGCTCGTAACCGTGTAAACTTGTTCAACTAGTGTCTATTGTTCATATAATAAATTAGTAGCAATTAATATATCAGTTTTAATTACACTATCTACTCCCTCAGTACCATAAGAAAACAAACATAGTACCCGTTATGGCACATTCTAGTATTCCTGAAACTGGATAGAGGCATGTCTACATTGGTAAAATTGAGTTGTGGATATTCCTTTTTTTTTAGGTAGGGGTTTTGTTTGAGTGAGGAAGATTATTTTTTAGGCAAGGGTAATAAGGTTGTTTCTAAGATAAACAAATGGTCAACTCTTGGTCAACAAAATGAACATACTCCCTCTATCCCATAAGATAAGAGTCATAAGACATGGTCAAACTCAACATGGTCTCTAAAACTAATCGTTGGCTTATAATTTCCCACATAGTATATAAAGTTTGTAGCAATAAAATTATAACCATATGAAAATATATTCAAATGCCAATCCAATGATAATATTTTCAACAAATAATATCTAATTTATATTATACCAATTGTTGTTTAAAATATTTTGAAATACGTGTGTCGTACATTATGGGCTAAAGGGAGTATAAAGGATCAAAGCAAAAACTCAAGGGTATATGAGGGATGAAGCAAATATCAGGGGCACGCGTGAAATTTAAGGGGCACGAAGGTTCATCATGAATAAATGATATTGCGTGTAATTAGGAGTCTGTCTTGATGGTAATTTTATAGTGCACGGTACGATGTGTCTATATAGTAAAATATGGGTGAGGAGTATGTATTAATGGATAATTTTAACGAAGGTCTAGACTAAAAGAAATAGTATACTAAAATTTGTAAAAGAAAAGGATTTAGTTTAAAGTAAATCAGGCAAGTCTGGAGTAAAAATATTAGCTATATACTACCTCCGTCCCAAAAGACTTAGGACGGATGTAGTAAAAATGAAAATTCTAAGCTTCATTCCTCTCTACATGTATATCTTTCATAATTATTTATGTATAATATAAATATGACCATAGGGGATTACCTCAAGAAAGGCTAATATTATTTGTGCATTAGACATTGTTGTGCTTCAAGCCACAGTGCCCCCACAAATAATTCTTTGTATGTTTTAAGGTAACAAAAATGAATTCATTATTATTTATGGAAGTACCAAATAGTAACTACTAATGCTAGACAAACTCATTACTTTTACTTGTATTTGTAGAACCATTTTTTAGCATAGCTTACATATTTATTTATCATGAAAATTTCATGGAAATATTACAATTAATGCAGGTGGGATGAAAGTGCAATAGGACTGCTCCCAGAGTATATTAGGGGGTTCTATGCATACTTGTTGAAGACATTTGACTCATTCGAGGAAGAGCTTGGACCTGAGAAGAGATACCGTGTATTTTATCTAAAAGAAATGGCATGTAGTCTCCTTGCTTTTGACCAAACCACATATTTGCCATAAGAAATAAATATGTAGGGATAATTTTTATTGTAGTGTTTTACCAAGATAGAGTAGCTACCTTATGAATAAATACAATAAATATGAATTGATATGAAAATTCACTTGTGAAGTAACAATGATTTTTAATAGGTGAAACTAACTGAAAAGATAACATGAAAGTGGGAATTCAGATTTAACTTTATATGGTGGGAAGATATCATGTAGAAAACTACATACTTTGCGCTTCTCACCATTTAAAAAATAACATAACCAAACTAGTATTACTTGTTTGGAGCAATAATTACTATTATCCATTCATCTCTTGCTTTTCCTCAATGAGAATTCATATATTTCTTGTTATGCATGATTTTCACTAGTTGTAACATGCATGAATCTCATTAATTTATGTTATTGGCTAAATGTATATGGATTTTCAGCTTTTGTGCCAAAGAACTTTCATATTTCTCTTTTAAAGGGTTTCTCGCATATGGGAGGCTATCTAACAGCTATATAATAGCTCAACATATATTATACACCTGAGAATCCACAAGTTTTAGTCATTTATTTTTAATCAACATTTAGTTTGTTTTTCTTATATCAACTGTTGTTTTCTAAAATGACTTTATGTGTATATACTCAATAAATGCAGCTAAAACGGTTAGTTCAGGCCTACACCAAGGAGTTAAAATGGCGTGACGAGGATTATACGCCAAAAACGTTGGAGGAACATTTTGAGGTTTCAATGAGAAGTAGTGGTGGTTTTACATTAGCAGCTGCTTCATTTGTTGGAATGGATGACATAGCAACCAAAGACATATTTGAATGGATTTTGAGTTATCCATCCCTTTTCAAGACTTTTGATATATTTGTGCGACTCTCCAATGATATTGTATCAAATAAGGTCCTTCTCTATCTTTACATGTTTGGACATTCTATTCCAAGTTGGTTCAAACGTGTTTCGACACCAACACAATGCATTAGATTAATTCGAGTTATGGCACAAGCTTGTGCACAAACACATAGTTGAGGTATAGCTATAATGATGCATGTTGTTCTAACTCTCCTAATATATTTTTTACCTATCATATATACATGTTTCAGCGTGAGCAAACTGGGGACCACTATGCCTCTACAATTCAATGCTACATGAAGGAGCATGGGACAACAATTCATGAGACCTACCAAAGGTTAAGAGAACTCATCGAAGACTCATGGAAGGATATGGTAGAACATTGCACAAACCCGATTGATGACCAACCATTGATCGTGCCCCAGACTGTAGTGAACTTCGCAAGGACAGTGACAACCATGTATACCCACGGTGATGCATTCACTTCTTCACACACAATCAAGGAAATGATATCATCGATCTATGTGGTTCCAATACAAGTGTGAAGTTTTCATTTAACAAAATATAAGAATCAAGGGTTTGATGGTAGCAAAGAAAAAGAGGCGCATATATATATTCTTTTTAGAAATAAAATAGAACTTGGGGGCATGTCCAAGAATTGGTGATAAAAAAATAGCACATGAAGCTTATAATAAGAGTGGTGTATGTGTACGACTTGTCATTGCCAAGGGTGGAAATATTAATTTGTATTTTTTTAATAGTATGATGTGTTTATTCCATTACCACTTCTTATATACACACCACTACACGTACACACCATACTCATAAACCGACGAGTATGCCCCCGACACATGTATAAAGAGATGCAGGCCAGTGGAAAAATCCCTAACAACACAAAATTTGTATTGCACTCTCCATGAGCAAGCAAGCTCAAGAATGGTGACCGGAAAAACAAAATCAGTTGCTACCCACTAGCTAATTGATTATTGGATTAATGAAAAAGGGTATTGACAGACTTCAAGCGCCTAAAAGTTTGTAAAATTTCAATCACCTAAAACTACAATGGCACGTAATGTGCAATTTTATTTCTTTTTAATTGCAGTTTTGTTGTTATATATGGTTTTACTTTGTTTTTATCTAGGTTGGAATGTTTTTTTTTCATGTAATTTTGTTTTTTTATGAACTATAAGTTCTTTCATGTAATTTTATAATTTGTGTACGTTAATGTACTTTATTGTTCAATATTCTATCTAAGAAGGTGGGAGGTGTGATGAGAACCATTGAATTCTTCTATAAGGGATGAAAAAAGTGACTAAAATTGTTAAAAAATTTAATCACCTAAAATCTAGATGCTCCTTGACCTTGGCCCATTACCATGTGGTTAGAACGAAGGCACGAGTGGGCTGTAGTTGGAGGCTTGGCAGCCCAATTACTAATTTGGGCACAAGCCCGTATATACTTTACCAATTACATTGTCAAGCTCAACCTGACCATGATATTAGACCATAATTTTAGTCTTTTGATCAACCAAGTGCTATAAACAACAATATCAAATTCAGAGTTTTAACATATTGTCATGACGCCATGCCTCCACTCCATACATAGATATGGGATCCGGTTAAATCCAAGGCACAGCTAGCGTATGGATGGAGATCTCTCTGACTCCAATCTGAGGCTGGCAAGGACCATGGCTTGCCATGAATGCTTGATTGGTGTTGCACGTATAGTGAACTCATTAAACAAAATTACATTTCTACCAACTAGCTATCCTCTTTGTTCTAAAATACAACAACTTCTATAAGTTCAAATTTTATCTCAATCCTATTCTCTCATTTCAACCCATTACAATCATTTTCCATTTAATTTTTCTACCAACTAGATGTCTCATCTCAATGAATCACAACCAACTTTATTTAATTTCACACCTATTCTTAATCCCTGTGTAAAACTTTAGGCTATGTTTGGGAGAAAGGGTTGGGAACCCTCCTATCCAACACGTAAAACAAAGCACACATTAGCTCATAATTAATTAAGTACTTCCTCTGTTTCACAATGTAAGTCATTCTAGATAGATATATATGTCTAGATTCATTAACATCAATATGAATGTGAGAAATGTTAGAATGACTTACATTGTGTCAGGGTTATGGGTAAGGTATAACCTCTACCCTTCGATATACGTCACATATCGATATGGTATGCTTGCGCGTATACGGACGTTTTCGGCATAAGTTAAGGAAATCCATTATGGAGTTCACAGATGTAAGGAGTCCTACTCGGATAGAACTGGGTCATCATTGTATCGTGTCGGGTCCGATGTCTCCGAGTCCTACTTGAAGACCAGTTGACCTACGGTATAAAAGGGACCCCCCGGGAGGACCTAAGGCATCGAATCTCAGAGCCAACACATCCACCACAGCCTACGAAGCTGGAGCTTATCGGAGCCAAGTCACCGGGAGATCTAGTCAGATCAACTCGACTACGATCTCGTCGGTAGCGTCGAGTTCCACTATTCCGTTTATAATCTGTGGTTTCCATCATATAATCTCATATCAACTGAATTAGGGCTATTACCTACCAAGGGGCCTGAACCAGTATAATCTCTGTTTCCTGTTTGCTTGATATCGTACTACGTAGATCCTTGTACCAGCGTACCCCAATACCTTCTATATCTGGTCTACGGGTATCCCCCGTCGATAGTGGCGCGCTAGGTAGGGGGACTTGGTGCTCAAGGTTCTACTACTATGACATCCAGCTTCGTCGACAACAGCGTCAACACCAACCTCAACCAAGGAGTTCCTACTTCAACAACACTGGTGTGGACTCAAGTCGGCGAAATCGTCTTTCCAGTTTACACCACTATGTCGATCTCAGCTGGTCCGGCAATGGCCGGAAACAAGAACGCATTGGCTACAACCCGGGGCGACTCTATGTCAAAGGATCCTCCCGCCGAAGCGGAGATCGGAACGTTGACGACATCCAAGCCCGAGATGGATCCTAGTGCGGCCAAGCCTTGTCTTTCTGACAGGAATCACGAGCCGACGAGGATTACTTCCGAGGTGACAAGGTCCTGGTGTCCTATCCACAAAACCAGGAAACACACCCTGCAAGCCTGCTGGGTCTTTCTCAACGTCCATGCTGAAATTCGTGCCTGCAAAGAGCGTGGAATTCAGCGTACCTCTCCAACTCGTGATGTCTATTGTCCTATTCACAAGACAAAGAATCACGACCTCTCGAGCTGCAAGGTCTTTCTCAGCGCCATGAAGACGCCACCTCCTAAGGTCCAGCAGTCACACATCCCCATCAGGGATGAAGACAAGGAACAAGGAGCGACGCCGATTTCAGATCGATTTGTTGGGGTAATCGACATCGATCCCCACGAACCATCATCTTGCACCTACTCGAAGACTATGGATCATCGACAACAAGTACGCCGCGTGAGGTATTGGCTATCGACGATGTCGGCACGTCAGCGCGCACCAATGCGGAAGCGGAGAATCAAGTGACTACTCCGGCCCAGCACATCAGAGCCGTCAACGCAATACTGAGGGAAACCCCCTACGATCCCGTTTTGAATGATGATCTCGCACGTTGGACAGAACGACTACGGGAATCAGTGACCAACCTCAGCAACGCGTTCGAAGAGGCCGCTGCTACAGCGCACCCGGAACAACCACCAACTGGCGATGCTAATGGTGAAGACCCTGAACGGCGGGGATCGCCTCATCGAGCGACCCCTCCACCTCGCGGCACCGGCGATCTCCGCGATCACCTGAATGGCCGTCGAGAGGCCAGACGCACACGAGATAACAAGAACCGTTCCCGGCGTCATGTCTCTTCACGGCGTCACGATAACGAAGATCGAGGAGACTGTTCAAGCGAAGACCGAGACCGTGATAACTGCCACAACCGCCACGATCATGACGATCGCGAACGGCGGGTGCTGGGCGATACTGGTCGAGGACGTCGCCATAATGACGACGATGATGGAGATCGGTGCCGAGACAACAACGGGAACGACGACAGGATTCTCAAGAGCCCAGCCGACGTCCTCGTAATCATACGCCGGAACCAAGCAACCCATCGTCATCGTCATCATCCTTGTCATCTTCATCATCAGATAGACATCCACGAAGAACGTATGATCGCCGACAACCCACCGCCCCCAGTGATGGGTGTAGAGCTTTCGGTCGTTCACTTCGGGATGTCCGATGGCCTGAAAGATTCCGACCTAGAGGAATAGAGAAATACGATGGGAGCACCGACCCAGAAGAGTTCCTTTAGGTTTACTCCATAGTACTCTACGCTGCCGGAGTAGACGACAACGCGTTGGCGAATTACTTGCCAACTACATTGAAAGGCTCTGCACGTTCATGGCGAATGCATCTCCCCCCTACTCGATCTCTTCGTGGGCAGACTTGTGGCAGCAGTTCGTAGCCAACTTCCAAGGAACTTACAAGCATCACGCGATCAAAGACGACCTACATGCGTTGACACAGAACCCAGGTGAATGCTTGAGGGATTATGTTCGGCGCTTTAACGAGTGCAGAAACACAATCCCCGAGATCACCGACGCTTCTATAATTCGCGCTTTCAAATCCGGTGTCAGAGATCGCTATACTACTCAAAAGTTGGCAATGAGGCGCGTCACGACTACTCGGAGATTATTCGAAATTGTCGATCGATGCGCTCATGCGGATGACGCACTGAGATGCAAGAACGACCAACCGAAAACCGGAGGAGAGAAGAAACCAGCCAAGGACGCACCTGAGTCAAGCAAGAAGAAAAATCGCAAGAGTGAGAAAAGGAAATCTCAATCGGAAGTTCTCGCAACAGAATACGCGGACCCTCCCAAGCGCCCAGACCCACAAGGCAGCAACATGAAGAAAGCATGGTGCCCTATACACAAGTCGGACATACACTCTCTAGAAGATTGCCTCGTCTTCAAAAAGTCGCTCGCAAAACACATGGCATCGGAAAAAGGCAAGCGAGTACGCGTGGTTGAGAAGGATGCTGAGGCGCCTACTCAGGAATCGGACTCAGCATACCCAGATTCCGATCTCCATGTCTCACACAGCTTCGGAGGCTCCACGGCATACTCCTCAAAGCGAGAATACAAGAAAGTGGAACGTGAAGTCTGTTCGACGTGGCAGGAGGCTGCGCCCAAGATGATGTGGTCCAAGCAGAAGATAGAATTCTCAAAAGAGGACCACCCCAAGACTGTTGTCATCCTAGGGCGATATCCGATCGTGGTTGAACCCACTATTCGTAATATCAAGGTCGCATGAGTCCTGATCGACGGCGGCAGCTCAATTAACCTTCTCTTCGCCAGCACCTTGGACGCGATGGGGATCCCACGAAGCGAGTTGACACCCACCGACCAACCCTTCCATGGAATCACTCCTCAGTCATCGTCCAAATCATTGGGCAAAATTATGTTGACTGTGACTTTCGGCCAAGCAAACAACTTCCGAACGGAACAGATCACCTTTGATGTCGCTGAATTCGATACAGCATACAATGCCATCATTGGGATAACTGCACTCGCGAAGTTCATGGCCGCATCTCACTACGCGTATCAAGTGCTCAAGATGCTAGGACCGATGGGAACAATCACTATTCAAGGGAACGCTAAGCTGGCAGTACAATGCGACAAGCGGAGCCTCGACATGGTCGAGCACACGCCCAGCCCACCCGCCACAGCTGAGCTACCCAAGAAAGTGAGCAA